GCCCCCGTAAGTCTTATCTTAGTGGATCTACTAGATACCTTTATGTATGAAGGTCCTTCCTTGGCAAGTAGTACCTCTTCATTTCAGTGTGGGGAATAGAACACCAAATTTCACGTAGCTCACATGGTCTATGTCGATTATGGCTATGTCTCCCAAAAGTTAAGAAATGAACTAAGATAAGAATATGAACTCTAGTCATGAGTTCTTCAAGATTTACTTAGTTTCGGTAGGACTATGGACCCTACTTATGCATTGCACAAGTGGACCTTAAGGGAGGTTATGATTAACTTCTTCTATGAAATAAGGACTATGGTTTATGTATGTTCAAATGAATGCATGTTAAAGTGTCTTTGCTTATGTAAAGACATGAAATATGATTATGCATCTGAATTGAATTTATGACTTATTAATGGGTTTTCTAAGTATATGTGGGGGAATGGTACTTCATGTTTACATTGCACAAATGAACTTGTGAAAGGATTGTAAGGGTGGTTTACCTATGATATGAACTAAATGGGTTATAACTAAAGATGAAATAAATGGATGAGTTCTTATATGATGATTACGAAGTATGTTGGTCTCATTTCTAATGTTAAATAAAGATGTTATGACTTGATGAATATGATGTTCCTAGTCTAGGATGGAATCTTAAGAACACATCGTGTGAGTAATATTATGGGATGTTATTTGCACATTGCACTAGTGTGACTTGGGGGTTGTCTTAGGTGATGGTTCCTGTGTGAAGATTATGTCTTATGATGTGTTTACGACTTTATGACTATATGTGGTTGGATTGATAAAGGTTATATGGAAGTTCACCTTTGGTAACCTTAAGGTGATAAATGGCTTTATGTGTTATTACAAATGGCTTCTGGGTGCTTGATGATGTATGTGGTCTATGTTGTGACTATTATATCAATGTTCATGAAGTTTTTCCCAAAAGGCATGATACATGGTTTCCAACCAAATGTCCATTTTTAAAGCATGTTTTTGCATAGTTATCGTACTCAGTGCATTCTTGTACTAACACCATTCTTCTTCATCTTTTTATACAAAGTGTAGGTGGTGGTGGCTTATAGACTTTCCTAGAATGAAGAGTTTGTATTACTATTCCCAAGTTCAGGTGTGTCCTTAAAGATTCAAGGACCCTATGGTAAGAGTTTCTTTAAGTTCATGTACTAGATAGTAGTTACTTTTGTGTTGTAAGGGGTGTGTTCCTATTGTGTTGCAGTCATGTGTTAAGAATGACTACATTGAGACTTTGTACTTTCATTGTGTTCTAAAAAGGCTTTAAATGAGATGACTTTTAGTCTAGTGTTATAGTATGGAAAAATTCTAAATTTCTGCACTATTTTATGTTTATGCGATGAAAGTATGATAAGGGCTTGTATAAGACTTCTTCGAGGTCGAATACGTCATGTTATGACTGGGGGTGCTCTCAGGTCGTTACAATTTATTAGGTTTGTTACCACTTTTTATAATTTGCTAATATGTATGCATACCATATAGCAAACAAACGACATAAATTATACAAAATAGGAAATCAAACCATCCCCAAACCTTAATTCACGAGATAAGGTTCTCTTACGACTGATATAACCCCTAAGAATACATGTACAATCATTTTTTCGGTGCATGAAGCTTACACATGAATTTTACCGTCAATACCACTATACCACGCAGTGAATTACGAATTTACACCTAGTTATATAAATAAACCTAACCTAACTGGGTGTCAAGCAGTTGTAGAGAGATTATAGCTCTAATTAAGGTTTCCAAAAGATGGGACAGTGAATTTTGACAGAAAACCCACAAGCTAACGACAACCTTACGCTAAAAATCTCCTTCTCCTTTCTTCCAAAGCCTAAAGCGGCCTTTTGAGGTTTTCTGGGGGTGATTCTCGCCTTTTTTTTGGTGTTTTGGAAAAGGAATAATTAAGACTTTGTGTTATTAAAGTTTTGACCCGTCATTCCCGCTATGACGACCACTTATCCCATTAGAGCGTCGTCGCCCTAGCGGCATCTTGCCCGCTCTGGCGAACTGAAGGCCCTAGTTTTCATGATGTTTTTCATTTTTTAATTAACGAGGGTTTGAGATGTTACATTATGCTTTTTTTGTTACTTATGCATTTCTTGATAACATGTAAGTATCGATAACACTGAGAAAATTTTGCTATTTAGTGTAATTTGTAATAGTGACTCCAGAATCCTCAAGCATTTCGACATGATTTGATAATTTTGAGTTTCATGTCACAAATTTGATTTTGTTGATCCATGCGTAAGTAAAGTAAAAATTTACCTCCTTAAGGTCTGTTTCGAAAGTTACATGGTAATTGAAGATGGTGTGATTAATAGGCTTGTATGACCGGGGAAGATACATGCTAACTATGGGTAGGAAGCAGGAACCATTATGTAAAAATTATTAACTTAATAATTACACAATCTAGTAATTATGATGACTTGTTTGTTTGTCACATCGTAATTACAAGTGCAATAATAAGATTGTTTTATGTTTTTAGAAAATAAAAGTTAATTATGTAAATTAATATATTAGACAAATAACAGTTTTTATAATTGATACTAAATTAAATATTTATATATATTATCTATTAAAAATATATTAATTGATAAGCAAATGTTCTTAATTAATATTAGAAAAAATACATAAAGCCCCATTAAATTAATATCTTTATAAAAAAAAAGATACTTAAACTTTTCGGAGGTCCTATGACCCTCTGAATAATTTTAAAGTAATATCATTACCTCAGTTTTTTATCAGGACTACTTCTAAGAAAAGAAGTGATGTCGTGCACCAATCATTAATTGTCAAGTGTTAAAATGTTATAATTTAAATCTTAAAAAGAGAAAAAGACTAAATTTTTATATAAAATATAAAAAAGTAATTTAAAACCCTCTCCTCCCCCCACCTTCTCTAATCCTCTTCAACACAAATTAGAGAAGATAAAAGTGATGGAATATTAAGGAAGATCACTGATAATTGGTTAATAGAAAACAGGATGTCGCTATAGACTATAGAAGTAGAGGAAAAATAACATTATTTTTGTTGTCGGAAAATGCTTTTTCGCCGAGTAAAATGATGAGTAGAAGTGACCATCTCCTTGTTCATTTTTCCTTTGGATTTTAATTATCTCTCATTATGTCAATTAAAAACTAGACATCAACGACACATTTCATTATCAATGCAATCGAAAAAGCATCACTTTTATCACCAAAAATACTTTATCACCAGATAAAATGAAGGTCAATAGTAATCATCTCCTCTTTATTTTTTTTCTTGTTACTTTTTTACCTTTTAATCATTCCTATTAAATAAATCAAACACAACAACGAAAATCACTACCAAAGTTGTTAAAGAAGATCAGGAAAACAAAGAATTTAGTAGAAAATTAAAGGAAATAAAAATAAAAATAAAAAAGTGTCAGAAAAGAGAAAAAAAAATAGAAAACACCTTGGTTCATCTCTCTCACTGCTATAAATGGTATTCCCTCAATTTATAAAAGAATGACCTAGTTTTTCTTGGGTCTCTTTAAAAAAGAATGACCCTTTCTTTTTTATGGCAACACTTTAACTTCAACTTTTCACGTGACATGTTTAAAATCATGAGATTGACAAATATTTTGATACATTTGACATAACTTTAATTTAAAATCACAAAATTAAAAAATATTCTTTCTTTTCTTAAACTCCGATCAGTGGCAGATGCACATTCAAGTTTATGGGTGCTTGAGTGCCCATTACATTTTGAAGCCAACACTATTATTTTAAAAAGGAAACCTAGTTTTTGTATAAATGTCTAATTCAACACCCAATTTCAGTACCAACTTCAAATAAGAATTAATTAAGCACCCATAGTTAAAAAATTCTGAATCCGCCACTGTCTCTGATTCACGTCATATTATGTCTTTTTTTTAAACGGATGGAGTATTATAATACAAATATAAAATTAGTATATTTTAAATAAAGTAATCATAAAATTAAAAATACAAAGATTTCTATGAATATCATAAAATACATGTTTGACAATACAAATTTCATTAAAATTATAATATGTGACAAAAAAATAATCTATCAAGTCTAATTAAAAGATAAACAACTTGCAATGTGAATGTCAAATCAATACTATTTGAAAAATATAACATAAGTTCTAAATTCTGAATTTTTTTTATATATAATACTCTTATGTCAAATTTTAACATAACGTACACAAATATGATTTAAAAGAAGAAAAAAAGCAAAGTGTACAATTTATTCAACGATAAATTCTAATTTAATTCAAAATTAGAATATTAATAAAGTTATACTAATAAAAAAATTTAAACATAAAATAATTTTTTAAGGATACGAAAAATTGCATAAAAACAACGGAAAATGGCCTAAAATATCCTCAAAGTATTGGATATAGTACAAAATTACCTCTCATCCACCTATTGGCTCTAAAATAATCTTCTCATCCACCTATTGACTCCAAAAAATATCCTTGTCATCTATCTTTTGGTTCAAAATTGACCAGTGTTTAGTTAGTGATTAGTGCATAGTGGGTTGATTTATAAATTATATTAATAAATTGAATTATAATAAATAGTTGAATGCCAATTATTTTAAAAAATATTTAAAGAGTTTAATTTTAAAACAATTAAATGAGTGGTCAATTTTGATTCCAAAGATAGACGACAAAGAGTATTTTGAAGCCAATAGGTAGATGAGAATGACATTTTGGAGCGAATAGGTGGATGAAATATAATTTGATACCATTTTCAATACTTCAAATGTATTTTAGTGCTTTTTCGTAAAAACAACAAAAGATAAAAGGAAAATTTTACAAGTTATAAACTAAAAATAATAAAAAGAAAGAAAAAAAAATCAACAATCCACATTTACTCTTGAAAATTAGAGTGTGTAATTAATTATATTCAATTATTTAGTGATTAAGTAACCTACCAAAATGTGACACAGTATAATTAATATCCAACGTTACACAACTACAAGTAAGGTGACTTTGCAAACAAACCCGATTACTGAAAAAAAAAGTAATTAAAAAGCTCTAATAATAGTCGGCGGTATGGTGAATAGGTGTTGAGTTGGAGTTGGAGTTGGAGTTGAAGTTGGAGTTGAAGTTTGGGAATATGGATGACGAGAAAGTAGAAATATATCACGAGAGGCAAAGATTACAGTTTTGCCTCTTACATTCTCTCAATAATCTCTTCCAGGTACTCTTTGTTCTTCTTCTTCTCTACACTCAATATCATACTAAACCCATAATTTTCCTCTCTTTTCTCTCTCATGTACCAATTTTGATCCAACCTCATAATGTTACCAATTTTAGTATGCGACGTTTCAATGGGTTTTGTTTCTTCCTTCAATTCAAATTTAATATATGTATATATTGCTAGGTCAATTAATGGAAATATGATTACACTCTTCTTTTTAATTTTTTTTTTGGGGGAGGTTGGGGGCGGGAGGGGACAAAAACCATGTTGGTTTAATAATGTGACATATTGGTTCTTCTCAGGAAAAAGATGCATTTACAAGATCTGATTTAAATAAAGTTGCTGAGAAACTTGATGTGGATGACCCTAACAGGAGAAGCTGGAATCCTGTATCACTTGTATTTAGACCTCATCATAACGAAATCACCGGTAACTATGATATCAATGTATTGATTGCAGCGCTCCAGCAGAAAGCTAAAACTGTTGTTTGGCATGATAAGCGAAATGTGGCTTCTTCAATTGACCTTGATGATCCGCTCATGGGAATTGTTCTTAATGTTCCTGTTACAAAGTTTAGTGGCCTTTGGAAAAGCAGGCATTGGGTTACGTTAAGATGTATTCAGGGGGTTTGGTATAATCTAGACAGTGATTTTGCTGCTCCTTATGCTTTTAAAGATACCCAACAACTTAGGGAGTTCTTGGATCGTATCATTACTGCTGGTGCGGAGGTTTTACTCGTCATGAATGATAAACGATGAGTTCTCCAGCAGTTTGATTTGCTTTTTTGACTTGAGCTGTTTGAAGCACAATGGATGGTACATGTTGCACTATGAAGACTTTAGCCCAAGTTTGCTATTAATACATACCCTGGGCACATGATGTGAATTTGATTGATTGTTTTGAAAGTTATCTTAAACCCTATCTAGGTGACTATAATTGAAAATCATTCAAAGTTTTGACATGAGTTATCTTAAAGGTATACTTTATTGCTTCTTGTTGGATCTTCCTTCAAAGTATGAAATGAACTTACGCTATGTCAGCTGCTTCTTACACATTATCTTTGGAAATAGTTATTACTTTTTCGGCCAGTAGAAAATTGGTTGCTCTTTTAACACTCTGGAAAAGAAGAAAGAAGAAAGGAAAAAGGTGAAGTATATACATCTAAAATATGGTTGTCTGTAGCAAGACATTGGGCTCTATTATATTTAGTGCATATCCAATCAAAGGAATAGAATTAGTCGAAGAAAGAAAAACTTAATTGCATACTTGTAATGGAGCTTTTATCAATAGCTAGAACCTTGGCCTTAAGTTTATTTGTTTTTGGACCAATAAGGTAGCAGCACCCGCTTGCATTTTCTTCAACTACTTGTCTGCAATTCCTCTCTGCAGTTCAAGAAAACAGGGATGTCGAGCTCTCAATTTAGCTTATAATTCTCCAAGAACTAAATTTTTGTTGTTAGCATAGAATATTGAACTTTTCCTTCTTATTTCTATTCAAAATATAGTTGGAAATGCTACTTCTTTTGCCTTTTGTCTTCCCTTGTGGCTCCTTTTAGCTATGAGTTGATACTTGGAGGTGTGACATTGTCAAGAAGAGGCTGCATGTAGAATGATTTGTGTTTCATCATGTGGCCGAATCTAATTCTCCTCTCCGAAATTAACTCTTGCAGTTATGCTCTTCGTATCCAGGTGTGCCACTATAATCTTTTGTCACAAAGGGAACTGTCTTTTCAATGTTTGATGGCATCCAAACTGCCTTTGCTAGTGTCATTGTTTATTTATGAACATGCTAAAAAGAGGAATATTAAATTGTTTTTGAGAAAATCATTGCTAGCATTCTGAATCTGAAGTGAATAGAAGACCACTATGTTGGAAGGATGCATACGTATCTATCTGGAGCACGGAATCGAGTTACTGCTGGACATCCGACTGCCAAATTGTTCAACATGCTGTTGGAAATAATACAAAGATTTGGCATAGCTGAGGAGTGAGGAGAAAAGTATCCCATTTTATCTTGCTTCAACTTTAGTGTAACTGGATATTTACATAATTTCATAACTTCTAGATCTGTCTGACTTCTGATGCTATTTTTCTGAATATTTCATGGTTTCTGAGTTTGGGAATTCTGTGGCATGGATTTGTCTGGCGCTCTTTAACTCTAATTGAGCATCTTGAACAATTTAGTCGGTCGAACTGGAGCCAAAATTCCACCTTGAACCTGAGATGGAAATCAAAAGGTAGACAGTGGACATAGTACATACTCAAATGAATCCTAAATTTAGAGGCACTTGGCTTTTCCCCCTGGTCTTTCACAATAATATCTTGGCTGAAATGTTGAATTATGAGCATAGCGACGTAGACATGTGAATATCTTGGTAGTGTATTTATTTTTAGCTCGAGTACAATTATGGGACGAACCAGTCTTATGTAATCAAATAGTTGGCTCCACTTGGCTTGTTCGTAGCTCTGAGCATGACAGTTGATAGTTCCATGAGGATTCTCTTGACATCATATCCACATTAAAACCTTATCATAATTGTGTTTTCTTTTTCTTTAGAAGTCAGTCCCTTTTGTAAGTCACCATTAACTATAACCTGAGATTGTTAAAGAATACCTTAGAGAAAGAACGTGAGATGTCTCCAGCAACCTGAAAATCTCCAGAAGAAAATATGCTGCTGGTTGTAGTCTGCATCCTTCTGTAGTTTGTCCATCGACTATATTCCAAGATGATGGAAATTCCATATTGTTTTGAGTACTCAAATATTAACTAGTATCCGGACTTGATTTTGAGCATATACTAGAACTGCCTACATGAGAAGAATGTCTCCACGGGTCACATCGTTTTATGCTAAAATGGCTTGAGGAAATTCATGATTTATGAATGTGAGTAGCAAATATGGTGCATGACAGAGTTTTCGTTGTGTTTGGATTCTTTGGGAAGCCAAATCTATTTTCCTTACAATTATTGTTGCTGACAAGTTAGTCTAAGCTTCAATCTGAATCTGAAAGGTTAACGTCTTTAGTTCTCTTATTAGAATGCTCAAAATGATGAAATTGAGAATGAATGATTTGGACTTGTCTAAGTTGATGATGAAGATTCTCCTCTTTGGGTGATCTTTTATTTTTCTTTCAGTACAAGTATACATGAAGAGTATTTTCAGGGGTCCCAAGTTCCAGAGGTTGGTGTTCTGATCATTTTCTAATCAAGAAAATGAGGTAAAGTACACGCTGATTCCTTTGGTTATATACGGTAAGTTCTTTTTTCTTGTATTTCACTTCACCGACGTTTCATTCTTACATGGCAATTGACAAAGATAAAACTACAAACTGTTAATCAAGGTACTTGATTTAACCGTTACCCTTGAAAATCATATGAGTTGCATGTGTCTTTCTTAAGTTTTGCAGCTTCTTAAAAAAGAAAAGTAAATTTGTCTACTTTAGTTTCATTCCTTAATGATTATTTTGACATCTTTTTCCTTCACATGAACAAATGCATAGGCAGGAATATCCTACAAGGATCACGCCACTCATCTCTGGAATCATTTTTTTTTCTCTTAATGCACATCGTTAATCCTAGTGTTCTTTTTTTTTTTGTTTTTTTTTTTGGGGGGGGGGGGGGGGAGAACCTTAATTCTCAAAAACCTGCCAGCTATTATATGTTGGAACAAGATGAAGTGGAGCGGAAAACCCATCAGTCTTAGATGTGAACATTGTATTTTCCATTTTGCAATGAGAGGAGCAACAAGCTTATCAAATGGATAATGAATGAGTTGAATCTAACGAGGTGTTAATGGAGAATGCGGAGTTGGAGGAATCATCACATTCTTTCTACATGCATACATCATTAATTTTGGACTTGGCAATAGAAACAAAAGCAAAGCTATATATATATATATATATATATATATATATATTATTTTTCTTCCTACCAGCTTTCAAATTCATACAAGTAACATTAGGCCAAAAAGGGAAGGTATCAAACATACTAAACTGCCATACTAACAAGGACAATAAGTAGACATAGTGCGTCAACCCTCCTTACAGTTCATCATGCTCATTGCGTTTACTTGTTAGATCCCTGGGCTGGTGCTGCAGGTTGTACTGGCTTTTCTCCTCCTGGTCCCTGAGCCAAACGTTCTTCCCTCCTTGCAAACTCTCTCCCTGCTTGCCTTGTTCTTTGCCCTCCTAGCCTCAAATTGTTTTCCATCAGCACACGCTTGTTCTTGAAAACATTACCCTTCACCTTCATGTACATGTCAGGATACATGTGTTTGTCAATCTTCTTTGATTCACTATACTTGCGATGCAAACGCCTGAGGACTCTCAATCTCCTCATCCGAAGCACCTTGCTAGGCAGTCTAACCTCCCTGGTACCTTTGCGCTTACCATGTCCAGAGTGACGGCCTTTCCTCTTGGCCTCCTTCATTCAGCACGAGATCTCGAGTGCTGCTTTGAAGGTTTTTTTTTTTGTTTTTTTCGTTTAAAAAAAAAAAGAGAAACAGAACAAATAGACTGTCTCCTCTTGGCTAACGTGTCTCCAGAGAATGGAAAATACCCATAGAAGACCATGACTTGTCTGTTATAGAGAAGCAAATAGACCTATGGATAAGATAGCCAGCTTCAGTCACCCATTGAGAGAGCTTGTAAGGAAACAAGTAGATAATTAACAACACGTAGTTAAATATCTCTACTTCATTGAAATGTCCAATTTTTTTTGTTAGGATAGACTAACTCTGCCTTGATGTCAATCTGTACCATTTTTGAATAATAACAACGATCAAATGGCATAAATGGTTCGCTCAGGTATAATAATGCATCGAATGCCAATCTTGCGCATGAACAAAAGTTATCAGCATTGGCATTCAACCAAACTAACATTATCATAATTGCACCACCAAAAGTTGTTGCTACAGTTCCTAAACTTTTGGGAATATTTCAAAATACGAGTTCGAAGCTTAAAGGGTAAAAATAATTGTCAAAAATTTTAAATGGGTACATCAATTTCTTTTTTAACTAAAAGGGCAAAAAGACTGATCTACCAACGATTTTGTCCGAATTTTTTTCACTTTTTTTTTTAAATAGCTGTCTAAGCGATTTTAGAGGGGAATTTTGTGTTTTTTTTTTTCTCTGGAAATTTTTTTCTCCTTTTTTTGAAACTTCTAGCAACTATTTTAGTTAATTAATTATTTTTTAAAAAAATATTGCTATCATTTTATTTCTTATAATGGTATTAAGTGAAATCTTTATTAACAAATGGAATGCGATTTTTTTTGATAAAAAAATATTACCAATATTTAGGATGATTTTTTTTTTGCGATTTTATTTTGAGAAAAAAAAATTACAATATTTAAGACGACTTTTTTTTTTAAAAAAATAATTGGCAGAAAATTTAAAACAAAACCACTTTGTGCAGAAATCCCTGTGTTAGACAGCGATATTCCCAAAAAAGTAATTTTACCCACTAAAATTACTATCTACACAGCGATTTTCTTTTTTAAAAAAAATTCTTTAAGAAAATGCGTTTAACTTTTTTTAAAGAAAAATCCACTAAAAATGCTACATTGACAGTGATTTTCTTTTTCAAAAAAAGAAAATAGATATGGGGAAATTTGTTGTATTAATAGCGATTTTACCCTTTTGGTTAGAAAATAAATTGATATACCAATTTAAAATTTTTGACAATTTTTTACCTTTTAGACTTCGAACTCTTCAAAATAAGAAGCTTTTTCAGAAAGCAGTAGCAGGAGAGGTTGAGACTTGAGAGAGAGCATTTGAGGTGTTAATTAACCTAGTTAGAATATCATTTTGAATAAAAATAATATTTCGGGCAAAGTTTGGCCATTTTGTTTAGCAAAAGCCCAATTTTTGAGATGCTTGGCGAATGACCACTTCCTACTTGCGAAAACAAAAGAAAGAGATGTTGGTTCCTTCCTATACGATTTTGTTAAAATAACTAGTCTAGTAGGAATTGTTGTGAACACAAGTTTGTCAGTGCAATTAAATACTAATAAGAGCCCTTAATTCTTACAAAACATTAATAAGATATTAAAACTGTTTTACCTATATTACTGCAGTCTGCAGGGATTGGATTAGTAACTTTACACAGATTTACAAGCTATGTCAATCATGTATCCTTGTTCATTTGGTTGTTCAATCAAACTCCAACAATACTCTGGTATCTTCGTGGAAATCTTGGGAGTCTCCTTGTTTAAATCAATCCAGTGTCAAAGACATCTGTTCCCTCATTTTCTGATTTACTGCCAAAGATACTCCTGCCTATTCTATTCTCAACTAAATCTCTTTTCATCTCCAATTCTTAATCAATCACGCCTTCCTGATTGCACCACATGCATATCCACTATAACACCAAGGGCTTAAGTTTGCTGTCTCCAAGTGTCAATCAATGATCTTCTCACCAGTTGAAAAGGCATTCCAAACTACTGTTCCAACCAAGTAAAGCCCAACTGAAACTTTAAACACATCATCCCAAGAACCTGAGAACAGAAAATATAATTCATTTTAGGGACACATGCTTTTGAAGGGCTATCATGTCTTTATTTCTGTTCTATCTTGACAGATGATGAGAGAAAATGAGTAGTCATACTGACTGCAAATAAGGCCTCCCCCAAGAGTGGAAAGCGTTACTGACATTGCGACGAGGTAAAGACCATTTTTTTAGCTCCTACATTGCCAAGCTAATGCTCTTGCAAACCATGATAACAAGACAGTGGTTGTTAAAGTCTGTTGATCAGCTGAAAGCAACTCTCATTATTATTAACAAGAACAGGTCTAATTCGAATGATTTAATTTTCACAAAGCATATCTAAGCAGGTGAGTGTGAAAATGACTATATTATGAGAATTGGGTAAAAGAAAATTGATCATGATCACCTAAACAACTGATTGTTGAAACCATATTTTAAAGATGATCAGTCTTAAAAAATCAATTTATTATTATTAGTTGCAAAGAGAGTTTCCCGTACAAACCATCCACAATAATTATTCAAAGAACTAATTTACCACAAACAAACATATGAAATCAGGTGAAACTAAAACCAGGTGAGCCCTTAATCCATTTACTCTATGTGGTTAGTAATGTCTTGTAAGTTCTCAGTAGTAACATGGACATAGAAGTCAAAATATCTTTAGGTTGTTTCCAATAGCACTACCGCCAAAAATTTAAAAAAAAAAGTCTATCAATTCTGTAGCACAGGCATCCCTAAATTATCTAGACTAAAATGAAAAGGATGAAATACCATGTTGCAAGATGTAACCAGTTGCTGCTGTGCCAAAAACACCAGCTAGAACCCCAGCAGTATTGGATAGTCCAAGGAGTACACCCTGAAAAAGTACCATTCATTATCTCATATTACCGACAATATCATAAACAATTTATATAACACGCAGCAATAATACATCATAAATAATTCTCATCTTGAGAACACAAAGTAATACACAACGGTTACTCAGATATTATTTGAAGCTCATTATACATTAACAAACACCAAAACTAAGAGGTGGAAAGACAATAAAGTAATACTCACAGAATACCGTGGAGCAATATCCTGATGGTTTGAATACAAACCAGATTGTGAAAAAGCATCACTTCCCTGTTTCAAGAATGAAGAATATCTCAAAGGGGCACCTTATAAGCTGAAGCAAGAAGAGATTACATCTTATCAACAAGAACTAATTTGATGGATATCTGAACAAAGGCAATATTATTAATTAAACTTCTTCAATACTTCCATTTGCTTTGCCCTACCCTATCCATTTACATGAAACTGCACATTCCACAGTGTTAACTCATATGCAAACTGAGAGAGACGGTACATGCTTTGACAGTTCCGTACTACTTATACATCATAGTTTTCACAGTTGAACAATATCTGTCAAAAAGCTATGCAGGACTCAAATATTCTTGTTCAATATAAGAAAAACCTGACTGCATGCCATACAGAGAACTGCCATTGCTGGAGAGTCAACACGGCTCAACTGGGTTAAAAAGAAAGCAGGTCCAAGAAATCCTATTGTTTGCATGATCTGCAACAATTACAAAAATTAAAGCTGTTCTTAACATTTTAGATAGGCGCATTTTCTTAAAAAATACAACCAGAGCTATTTCAAAAAACCTGCAAAGAGAAAATACATTGACTTCAGAATAGGATGGGAATCTACTAAATATGGTGGCATTTTACAACTATGAAGTAAGGAAGCCATGCAAATGAACTAAATCATTGGAGTCAAAATTATCTTCTGTCTGCGACACGTAAGTTGAACATGCAGACATTAAAATATCACCAACCACTTTTAGGAAAAATTGTTCTCACAAGGATCATTAGAAAAAAAAAAAAATGGTATTGAAATCGCAATGACATCAATAAAAATGAGTAGTACCTTTCTGACAACAGTCACTGATGTGCCTCTCCTCACCAGTGAATCTGCAATCCACCCACCAACATTTGCAGTGGCTGCCATTGTGAGCCATGGCAAGACCGCAAAAAGTCCCGATTCTGTAAGATTAAACTTTAATACCTGCACTAGCAATGCATAAACAACTTTAAGTAGAAGTCACTAAAATTATGACCACCACCAAGTAGGAAACATTCTAATTTAATACTACAAATCATTTAACATGGCATGAAGATTAAGCATCATGGTTGATGATTTAGTGAAGTACTTCAAGACTTAGATACTATTCAAGATAAGGCAGTGACAGGTAAGTAGGAACAATTCATGCGTCTCTTTACACCAGTACATAAATGAAATTGTAAAACAAAATTTCCTACCCTCAGTCCCTACTGTCAAACTCTATAAAACCATTCTTCTCTGCCTTTTATCCTTCCGTTTACACCCTTACAATAATCAGACCTCTTTCTTTACTGCATAAGTACCCCAACCCCGACCCCACAAAAAAAAAGAAAATGAAAAAGAAGAATACCACACATCTCCATATCCACCACCGGTTATCATACTTTCAACATACATTACAAGTTCAGAAACGCATTTACCTCTAAGGTTTCCAATATTTTCCAATACTCAGTGCAGATGCAGGATGTCACTTACAAGAATCAACCGTAAAAAATTATCAGTACAGTATACTTTTCTATAGGAAACTGTCCAGTACAATTCCTTGTAACATCCCGACCCATTTTTCTTAATTACATCACTCAATTTCATGTTTAGGAACTTTTAACAAGTCATATTTACCATTTTGGACTTGTTTGAGGTTTGGGTAGAAAAAAACAGATCTGGACAATGCAAGAATTTATATTTGTCTGATCCCAGCAAAATCTCGCTGCCTTCGAAGCATGCTTAACAAGAGATAGGTTGCAAAAGAGGGGATGTATTCTTTTCAGCAGGTGCTTTTCATGTGAAGATGCTAGGAGTCAGTGGATCACTTGGTACTTCACTGTAGCTTTTCATGACAGATCTGGTCTATATTTTTATGCACTTCTGGAGATCACTAGGTAATGCCATAAATATCAGGCAACTGTCATCCATTTATGAACCAAATAGGTGAACTTGAACCTAACATCATAGATTAATATTTAAGATGTCAAATCTTTATTTCTATTAGATCTCTGGGCCTGGCACTTTCTTCGTGAATAAGTTGTTCACAAATTTGTATCTTCGAAAAGTTTGTTTTACACCAAATTACATACATTTTAAACAATTATTGCGATTCATAATCATGTAGAAAGAAAATGAAGCAACATAACGGAAATGGAAAATTTGTACCTGGTGATAATATGTTGGCATCCATGTAAGAAGAATAAATGTCCCCCAGTTGTGACAGAAGTGAGACACTATCAAGGCCCATACTGGTGGCTTTGACAGAATCAATTTCCAAGGGATTGATTTAACAGGTTCCTTGGAAACACTGCTACAAAGAATAAGCTTCTTTTCTTCAGGCCGTAGCGTAGGATCATCCAGGGGTGAACTGTATGCCTAGACAAAAAGTTTCTGACATGAATCAGCAGCATTACCAATGGCGTAGCAAGAAATTCTGAAGTTGCAAGGGATATATGTGGTTTGTATGACAGAGTGGCTGAAGTTGAAAAAGTAATAAATATAAAATATACCCCATGTCCCCCAGCACAGAGCTTTTGAGAAATATACAACAGACTCTTGATGATCCTCATGAATGGTAATAGTTAATTGCGTGAATGTAGGGACTAATGTACCTTATTGAGCCATACTGCAAACCAGACAGTTCCTACAGAACCAAAAGAAAAGAAGACAGAAGGCCAGCCAAATTGTTTTATGAGGAATGGGGAAAATGCTAATCCAGTAACAGATCCAAGATACATTCCACTATAGACGAGTGCGAGAGATCTACTTCTTTCTGATACAGGAACCCATTTAGAGAGAATGTTATTCATTGCTGGCATAGCAACACCCTGGACGTGACAAAGTGTAAATTAGTATAACAGGAAGATTGATGAGTAAGTAATAAAGAGGGAGGTGAAGAAAAGCAACCAACCAACCAACCTCACCAATTCCCATGAAAGCTCGAACAACAAATAAAAAGGGCAATCCAAGCTTAGCAGCAATGGGGGTGAGAACTGTAGCAACAGACCACCAGATTACTCCAAATCCCAAGACAGCCTTGCCACCAACAGTGTCTGCCCATATACCTCCTGCTATCTGTCTAGTGAATGAGTGAGGATCCCAAATAAAAGTTACTATTGTGTAGTAAGAATGAAGATTGATTGATTTGTCGTTTCACCTGAGTAAGAAGATAACCCCAGAAAAATGAAGATTGTATTAAACCAACAGTAATAGGAGTCCAGTTATATTCGGATGCCATGGGAAGTATAGCGATACTCATATTAACTCTATCCATATTACAAAGAAGAAAAGCGGAGAAACAAAGAATGACAATAACCCAACGCTTTGGAAACTCTTGCGGTAGACCCACTGAGTTATCTCCATCTTCTTTCTTTCTCAATAAAGCATCATCCTCTGCAATTTTGAAGGGTTTTGACTTGACATCAGCCCACAACTTCCGACTACTACTATTCCTCTTAACTAATAATAACTCTCTTTGCCCATATCCAAATCGACCTCTTCCTCTTCCTCTTCCACTTCCACTTTCACTAGTATGGTAAAATGAATTATGAACATTGAAATTTGTTCGAGGTATATTGGGAGGAGAAAAGCTGTAGTGGGAGAGAAGAAATGCTTTGCCACTCATAGCACCACCAGACAGCTGTAGTGGAAGGGGATTGATTGGTTGATATTTCAGTTTCAGTTGGAACTGTAGTTTACCATTTCCACTTTCTACTACTCAATAGCACCGGATATTTATGCCCACTGCTACGGTTCTCTTCCTTACACGTGTCTCTCTCGCATCACATACCAATGCTTCATTTAATTACACTTTTCTCCTTCTACCTCCTACCTTGCTGAGAAAATTAAATAAAAGGGGGTCAAATAAGTTTTGGCTTTGCTTTTGGTGACATTTGATCAAGAGCTTTTTAAAATGTAATTAAATAAATTTGGTATCAAATTAATATTTCTAGAACTTTTTAATTTTTTATAAAATACGGAAAAGAAAATTCATTTTTTTAACTTATATTATTCAATCCAAATCATTTTTTAAAAAATAAATATATTTTCATCTTCTCTTTTCTCGTAGCCTTCTCTCTCTTTTGATCTTTTTCTTTTTCTTAGAAATTAAAAAATTCGACTAGACTATCTCCATTATCTTCCTCTCCGACTATCTCTATTATTTCCCTCCTCATCTCTAGTCGTGTCTCTCTCCTCTTTCTGAACTGAAATCGTGATCAATTTTTAAATGGGAAAGTTACTTTTTTGAAAGATTTTACATTTATTTAAATTTTTTTCTTGGATTAATGTACAATAAAATGTAAAAATTGAATAATGATGTAATTGTGTCTATTATTTATTATTTTTAAAAGGCAATCAACCAACACAAAAAAACCATAATTTTGAGGAAAATGTATATGTATTGTTAACATTCAGTGAAAATTCATTTTTTGTTGCCTTTGTTGTGCTTTTTGTGGCCATGTTGTAGATATGATTTTAGAAATATAGTCTTGTTCAGTTGTCTAACATATATTTCATTTGTTGAAAGATGTATTGTATATTGCCACATTTTAGTGATATGTTGGTGCACATTCCACCAACCATCATATGTTGTAACATTTCACTTATGCGTTAGGACAACAAAATGGTCGTCTCTGGCAACATAAGATTCATCTGTGGCAATAGAAAATTAATTTGTGGATCAAATAGGTATATTTGTGTCAACATATGATTCATCTATGGCAATATAAAATTTATATGTAGCTATCAAAATTTCATGTATGGCAACAGTAGGTACATGTGTGACAACATAATGTTAGTTTATGGCAACATACTATCCATTTGTGGCGACATAATGTTATTATTATTTTATAATGAATTGTAAACTCTCAATCTTTTTTATTACTATGTAGATGAAATGATACAAGAAGATTCATCCGTGACAACAACTCAATCTTTTATTTGTGTTGCTTTCTCTTCTAACATCAAATGCTCTTTTTAACTATGCGAAGAATGTGAGCAGCAACATGATTATTTTATTAATCCTGTTAAAAAACTCACTGATATTTTTAAGAAAATGTCTCATAATATTGATATCAAAAGATCCAAGAAGATTTCATAGACTTTGAAGTGTAGAAGATTGAATAAATCTATTTCCAAAACAATTTCTATAATTAGTGAGAAGAAAGAGAAGGAGAAGAAGGAAAAAGAGGAGAACGAGAAGAAGGAGAAAGAGTTGAAGGGGAAGGAGAAGCGGAAGTAGAAGTGTAAGGACCCAAAAAATGATTAAGGTCCAAATAGAGCCTAACATGTGGTGCCATGAGCTTATAAGGTCCTAAACGGGTCAAATATAGTGTTTAGAGGAAGTGTGTAGCGTTTGGAGGTGAAACGTCCAAGAACGTCTAGTGATTTTTAAAAGTTAGCCGTAGAAGTACTAGTGTGTTCTAAGTGAGTTTTGGGTATGTTGTGTGAGTTGTTTGGTGTTCAAACTTCTATGGAAGGACCCTAGCATGTTTATGACTTTAACTGGGGTTGAGACTTCATGGCACGACTCCCCAAGGTCCCCACAAAAGACCCTTAAGGAGGACCCTAATCATTGCCTAGACACTGGCTGGGCGGTGTCAATCGACGAGGCAATTGACGCCTCATGAGTTGGTCGGCGCCCTATTGATAGGGGGAGGGAATAGGTTTCTACTTAGTTTCTTGAGCTGAAGTCCCAATTGAGGAGACTCTGACCAAGACGATGGTTTGCCAGAACGGCCCGTCGTCTGGTCGACACCCCATAGGTGGCATCGCCGATGCAGTCTTGCAATTTTTCGCAGCTCATTTTTAAATCAAGGGGTGAATTCTGATTCAACCCATGTCCAAATAAATGCATGGTCGGTTAAATTAGGTGCATTTAGGTATTTAGACTCTAGACTGCAAATAAAAATCTCTCTCTCACCTTAGAACTCTTAAGAACACCATTGAAGAAGAAGAAAAATTGGGGGCAATGGCTTAGGACGATTTCTTCAAGGGTTCAAGATAGAACTAAGGCTCTAATCAAAGGTATGTGAAGCTTATTCATTCATGGATTCTTCCATACATGAAGCTCCCCTAGTTTCCCTTCAATTGTGAATCCAAAGAACCCCAATCTAGAGAGGGTTGTGATTGCATTGTGGGTAAGATTTGACTGTGATCTCAATCTAGTGGATAGTATACAATGATGTTTATATGATGATTATGCACTGTTTTCAAGATGATTTCATAGTGAATTGTGGTAATTGAACTTGAAGGGGATCATGGTGATTTTAGGTCATTAGAGGCTAGATAAAGGTTTTATGTTGATCTTCTTATTCAATTGTATTCTATACTATTTGATCATGATTGAATCATCTAGATATGAATCGAACTATGCTTAATTGATCTAGGTTGGTCTTGAATTGTAAAGATGAAATTCAACATATGTGATCATGCATGACTAGAATTGCCTTCTAATAAGCTAATAAAATAGGTTAACATGTAATTGAGTTTGAATCATGAGAGACTAAATGTAGTGGTTGTTTGTAGGGCTTATCGCCATTGGTGGCTAGGGATTTGGGGATAATGTCATAATGAGGATGATTGTGATGATTTTTCCTAGTAATGAGCAATGAGAAAAGAAAGTTAAGACTATAAGATCCTAAAATATATGTATGAATGAAGATAAGAGGAATTGATGAATAATGAACCTTAGGTTGGTTGTGTTGGCTGTAGATTTAGGGTGATTGAATGAAAGTGATATATTTCACTTGAGCTTGGAGAGATTGTCAAGTACATTCCTCCATGAGAGAAAAGTGTTGAGCAAGGCTTGACAAGAAAACTTTGTAGTATATGTTTGACTCCAAGTGGATATGCAAAGTGAGACGGATAGTCTAGCAAAGGTCCGGAATCCAAGTACAAAGGAGAGACACACCTAGTAATTGTGAGGACTATCCAAGTAGGTCTCATGAGGTGGGAATCCTTCACGTATTTGAGTCAAGGTATCCTAGTATAAATCTCCACATCCTATGAATTTAGACGTGCTTGAGAAGCATCTCGTCGTGTTCAATGTAAAGAATGAACTTAGACATGCCCAAGGGGTATCTCGCAGTGTTCATAATGTGTGAGTGGACTTAGACACGCCCAAGGGGTATCTCATATGTTCATGTTTAGTAAGGGATTACGACATACCTTAAAAAGTATCTCGTAAGATCCATATGATTAAGGAACTTAGATATACTTGAAGAAGTATCTCATAGTGTTAAAAAGATAAAGACATGGGCTAGGCTCCATCGTAAGAAGTAATAGAGAAAGGATCCAAAGTAGTACCTTGCATGAATGGTGTTATGGGGCATCATAAGTGCATTTCACAAGGTATAACCTACGGTCATCAAAGAAGAAGAGATTGAAAATAGGATTGGACTAGAGTTGCCTTTCCTAGTAAAATAGACTAAAGATGTGATAATATTATTAAATGAAGTTAAGTAATGATAAGTCTATGGAAGGTGGACATGTTAAGGATAACTTCAATATAGGCTTAGTATGTGAGATAGTATGGGATGCTTCATATGCATTGCACTAGTGTGCTTTGGGGTGGCCTAAAGACATGTTGCTCATATGTTATGAGGAACTTAGTTCTTAATTATGAAAGTGAACTATGACAAAGAATGACCAAAGAGAGGTACTTAGCTTGGGTATTAGTATGGGATGCTACCTTAGCCTTGCACTAGTATAATTGGAGGTGGCTTGTGATTTAGTTCATTTGAGTAAGAAGGACAATGATTTAAGTATGATATCTTAAATGCTTTATGATGCTTTAATGTGCTTATGATATTCATGTTATGCTTATGTCTTTATATCTTATGATTATGTCTATTGTTGACTAACCCTTTGAGATATCTTATGTTTGGTATGATAGTTTCCATACTTAGTACATATCGTACTAACACATACTGCCTACATGTTGTCCATGTAGGATCTTGAGAAGATTGAGGTTGCTTGAAGGGTAGAGTTTCCAAGGTTTCCAAGAAGTGAAGACTTGGTGAGTCCTCATAGCATCTGAAGGCTACCATGTTTAGACTTTTACGGGCCGTGTTGTATTCATGATGTCATATATGGTTTTTGTGACATATGTTAGACGTTTTATGAAATGACTTCCGCATTGCGTTTTGAAAGAAAAGTTTTAATTCTATGTAATTTTCATATATATGAAAAAAATGATGTTTAAGGGCTTGTACAAGACCTCAAAGAGGTCAAGTACGACATGTGACGACTCAAGGATGCCTTAATTTATAGGGTGTACTTGCAGGTCATTACAAGAAGGATAAGAAAAAGGAGAAGCAGAAGCAGAAAGAGAAGCAGAAAGTGAAGGAGAAAGAGAAGAAGAAGGAAAAGCAAAAAGCGAAGGAGGAGAATAAGAAGGAGAACGAGAAGCAGAAATAAAAAGCGAAAGCAAAAAAGAAAGAGAAGTAAGTTGAAGTCGTCAGGTTTGATGTGAAGCGACAACATACATTTGAAGGTTTTAACATTGACGGCGATGGTCCAACTGAATTAATGTCATCCTTCTCGCAATGGATAAATGAGGGTCTTTACAAGCATCATGCTCAAAGGTAAGGTCGTTCAACTATTATTAGTATTTTTGCTTGTTGTCCACTAAATAATTATTTATAATGATTACACAATTGCAGAAGAGACAAGGACGATCATTACTTAGACAATTGCTTGAGACATGATTTTGACC